ATGTCTTGAAAAAATTTTATTTGACACTAATTTTTTTGCTTGCAAAAAAACAGATAATTCAATTTTACGCCTTGATTGATTTAAAGTGCCATTATTTTGCGATATGGAAACTAAAAAGAAGACCAAAACCTACACAATCCGTAATGGGCGTAATTGTGATAAAGATGTGATAGCGGATCTGCAGTTGCCAAGGTTGGAATCGGGGATGCGAGAGAATTCAAGTTTATTCCCGGTGTTGGGCCTGAAAGAATTCGAAAAGGTCCTAAACACTTACTTTGCAGTCAATAAATAAATGTAAGCATTGCAAGCAATTTCCTTCATAAGATTCACACATTTTTCTTGAGTTCCACGGTTTGAAAAATACAGAATCTCCAACCCGTGCCATTTTGCTGGGTGACGTCTATTTTTTCACATTTTTTTTTGTATATTTTCTACTTGATTTATCAAAACAGATCACCTACCATTAAGTCCTGCTCCGGCAACCAATGCTGCAGCCGCCAATGCCATATTGTTCTGTTGATTGGCCGCCAATGCGGCACTAAGTGCAGCCGCGCCACCATTGCACAGGCTAATTGGTGGACCAGAAGTAGCCGCTGCTGCTGATTGGTTTGGACCTGCAGCTGCAACTGTGATTGGTGGAGCAGTGTTCACCGCTGCTGCTGCTGCGCTGTTTTGGACGTGGCCTCCAACGCCATTTGCACTGTTCCCGCCCAGGTGGGTGGCTTGTGGATGATGCTGATGAGTACCGGCTGTAGCTGGAGGACCATTGGGACCCGCTGGGGATGGAAATAGGGGTAGGCCTTGGGCAGGACTCAAGCCCAGTCCGGCTATAGCTGCGGGGTTGGTGGCTGCGGCCAGCTGCTGAACTTGTTGCAATTGTAGAGCTAGCGCCGCTACTGGATTGATGTATCCAGTGGTTTGCGAAAGATTCTAGGCGATTCAAGTTCTTAAAATTTGCCTCTTCAGAAACTACACATGAGGCATTTAAGTAGAACTCACCTCAAGGATTTGTGTATAGGCGGTGTTGCCGAGTTGGGACAGGGCGAGAGCCGGATTGAACACGCCCAAGGGACCAATTAGCTGCTGAAGCTTTCGTGAATGACGCTCCTTTTCTGTGTCAGCGAACTTCACGACTATGCTGGAAGAAGCGCCCTAGGAGAGAGGCAGGAGAGGAGATGGGAGTAATCGTTCACGTGACAACTTACTGGCATCGTTTGGCTGCCATGGAGGGCAACAATGGCCGATTGGGCCTCAGCTTGGCTGGAGAACTTGACAAAAGCGCAACCTAAAAGGGAATTAAAGGCTAATTGAATGTAGTGAAGGGTCCTCATACCCTTCTAGTGTAGCTGCTCTTATTTCTCAATGCCACTGGCACACTTACCTCCCTATTTCCCCCCTCTCTTGCTTTGACAGCTCTCGGCGGTGATTCAGCACACTCATTTTGTTTAAATAAATAGTTTAGTCTTCGAGGGTTTAACGAAATTAGTTTTTAGACAGAACAGCATTTTGACTTTTGAACGTCGGTTGTCATTA